CCCGGGGGGGGTACTCCCATATATTTGCTATACGGGGACGTGCCGCTGGCCAGGGTATGGTTTTTGGCCTTGCTGTCTTAAACAGGGTATACATTTCACCCGAAATTGTCTTAAGCAGGCTCTACAATTTAGATAAAAGAGACCGATATAATTTTTTTGTGTGTCTTGGACAGGGTAATATTTTCATAACACCGTAGAAATACCGTTTTACTGTACCAGAATTAACGTGTTATCAAAAACTTCTTATTATCTTTGATGGATGTCAGTATAATTGCGGTTTTGATGGTTGCGGCGTAGATAGCTATTCCTTATTTTTTAGATTTGTCTTGAACAGGGTATGGATTTTTACTTTTTCCGGGGGGGAAATGGCTCTGAGGAGAGATCCTTCCGTTTGCGTTTAGTGTGCCTTGACGATTSGGTTTAATTGTTTGTTTTAATTGTTCGTGGTAACTGAGCTTGAGTATGGAATATTGTAAATGGTTCTCTATTGCGAGTCGTACATGTACTTATGAGATATTATATTATATTTAACAATTAGACCTCGAGGTCGAGTGGACTACGAACTAATAGCCCATGAGGCCGAGTCCGAGAGGCCGAGAGGTCTAATTGTTTTAGTATAAACATAAAAATAGGTCAAATAATGAAAACAAATTGAAATATCCTTAAAATGATTTATTAATGAGATTAATTTTCCCGCGAGTGGTCTATCACAAATTAGACCATTAGTAGAGTAGCCAATCACAGCGCAGTATGAGTGATAGATCATTAGTATGTTTATACTATTAGATTATATTAGATGGTCCTTAGATCAGTTAGCAACTTGAAGAGGGCGATATTGTTTGTTTGTGTGTTATTGTTTTTTTTTTATTTTTTGCAACTTTGTGCAATTTATAGGCGGACACTGCTAAGGTATAGCCTATAGTACCGSCGTTTAAACCAGATGCACGCCGGCTAATAGTACCATATATATTTATAGATGAAACGTTTGCTACATTTTAGATGAATCAACAACCCCCCCGCGAGGATGAATGTTGTTACCGCTTTGCGCTCTTGACAATTTCCTAAATAACTCTTTAAAAGCACAGCGAAAATTCTGACTAAAAGTGTAGTAGATAACAAGGTTAAATAACCCGTTAAGAAACGATATTGAGTATGCGATAGGGAAAACAATACCTTGCAGCCATCCCAACTTAGGATTTTTGAGTGCAAAAGTATCAGCTATGAAAATCGGCGCCCATGTTATGTTGAAGGCAAGGACCACAGAAATTACCATATATGTTACTCTCTTGGACAACCTTAGTGCAGCACTTTGTCCTCCCGTCCCTCCCTCCCCTGGGACCTTTCTAGTCCTTATTCTWTACACAATCATGATGGCTAGTGGAATGACAAAAGCGAGTGGACTAAGATATCCAACGAACATAAAAATCTCTGTATCATTTGCGTACTTTGGGATGCAGAATGCTTTGCCACCATGGAGGGTAACCAAAGACATTGAATAATATGATATTGCAAATGCTAAGCTAAAAGAAATCGCCCATATCAATGGTATTAGGTATTTACAAGACGTGCTGTAGTTTTTGTATTTGAGAGGACGGCTAACCGCCATGAATCTATCAAAAGTTATAATAACGAGGCTGAATGATGAGCTTATGTATATTGTTACTTGTATAACATGCCATCCAACACAAGTAATTCTTCCAAAAAGCCCCGAGAACCAGGAATACCATCCAAGAGGAAAATGAAGAGTATAAGGACCAGTGTAAAATGCATATAGAAGATCAGCACAGGTCAAGTTGACAATAAAGAAGTTTGTTGTTGAATGCATGTGKCTGTTGACTCGAACACTGTGGATGATGAGACTGTTGCTAACGATGGAAGTTATCAATGTCATAGCAGTAAAACCAATGACYGCTGCTTTAGTCCAGTCACTTGCTGCTTGAGACCACTTTTCAAAGACTTAAAGAAATCGAGAAGAGTCGTAGTCATTGACTTAAGAAAGAAATATGATGATTACGGTGTGCCGGGATTTGCAGGATCCTGATCCCACAGATTTTCAATCGAATTGATTCATCTTCATCAAATCTTAATTTTGGTTATAATATAAATGACGGGTTCTTATGAAAACACTTCTCAATTAGAAAAAATGAACAAAAAAAAGCAAAAGCATAATAAAGTATAAACATAAAAAATAAATCTTGGGGAATTTTATGTACCAAGAAATATTTTCCGAATAAAGAAGGTAGRGCTGAAGGTTGCGAGGGGCTCAAGCTCCACGTTCAATGGAAGTATTCGATTTTTCTTCTTGTTTTCATCTGTAGTTAGTTAATTCCTTCCTAAAAACTTCTTCCCTTAAATGATCAATTAAAGAAATATTGGACCAGAGCATTAAATCGAAGCAGTACATCGTACATGAGTATCTATACGATTGTTTCGTGGCTTACCTTTATAATTTGCACTGGCATTCCCCAATGAAGTGTCCGACACTTTAACATCAGTAGATGTAGTATTTGGAAGTAAAAACATAAGCAGGAACAATAAAACAGAAAAAAACATTATTTATTATGTTTTTCAAAGTCTTTTTTGAGGTCTATGGTTGCTGTTAGCCCTGCAGTTTTCTATCTAAACAAGCATGCAGATAAAATGAAATGGTCGTATTTTGATTATGTAATACAATTTAATTAAAATCCAATTTCAATTAAATTTTCTCATCAAACAAAGTGACATAATAATTGAAAAAAGTTCACCATACGGCTGTCATTTGTTTACAAACTGAACATCGTTCATTGATATATTACAATCTTTCATCAAAAACAACATGGGCTCTACATGATAATATTTTTGACAGCTTTGAAGTCAAGATCTTCTTGSCATATCATCTTCATATAAGTCATGTTCTTCTCAGTTACAAACTTGTTTTTATTGATTAGAAATTAATGGAAACTTTAAACCTTGTCTTCTTTCTACTTTTAACTACGTCACGTGCGTTCGTGCGAACCGACAGAATTTTTCTTCATTAATATAATGCTCCATCGAGAAATTAAAAATCTAATTACAATTTCTAAGCTTTTTTTGTAAATAAATAAACAAACTAGTCTTAGGTCCACCTGCAGTGTTATCTTGAAACTGGAGCAATAAAATATTGTATTGTATTGTATTGTATTGTGCACATCTCCCAATATTTTTGATTCATCTATCGTTTCTTTCAAGGAGCATATCTGTTTTTTTTTTTTTTGCTCACCTCTTTAATACCCTGTTGCCCTGTACAAAATCATCGATTTACTTGTTTAATATGCTGCTGCAATGTCAAGTTCACAGTACAGTTCATTCCATACTAGAAGTTTGTTTGTTCGTTCTTTTTATGATCCTACATGAATCTCTTTGTAAATTGTTAAGCACATACTATTTAATCTATAGATCATACTCTGATTTTTCATATGGTAGTCTAGGCTGTTCACCCTATATTCCTCCTGTTGAATCCACTTCGGTAATAAAGCAATTCAAAATTGTTTGGTGTAAGCATATTTTATTATTTTAGTGTCATATATAATCCCCGTTTTTGAGGGTTGAGGGGCAGGCTTTACTTATATATGCAGTATACAATATATGCAGAACGATTTCATTTGAAGTTTGTATATATTAATTGTTTTTTGATATATGTGTACACTGTACATGTGCATCTATATAAATATCGATTAAAATACATATACGGGTATACGTTGTAATTCTTGTGCTTAACCATATATCAAGGTCAGTAATGAGATATATATTTCTCTTTTTGATTCCCGATCCCAACACTAATAGCCTGATCCTTGATCCCCCAAATGATGGCAGTTTTGATCACTGATCTTGTCAATCCCCTGAATAACTTTATGATTCTAAATTACTAAGTTCACTAAGCCACTTTAATACCGACTACTCCAGAGCTAAAACTCTGATCCGAGTTGAGCCCATGAAAATGGCGAAAATGTAATAGCTGAGCCCCAGATAAAATAGCACTGGTCTCTGATCCCATATATYTCGTATATACTAGGCTGCTATACATAATTACAAGACTTAGGGTTTATATCTCAATGAGTAAATGGTAAATATCAATACTTATAAGATGTTAATAAGTCATGGTAAATACAGTATATACAGCAATTTAAAGAAAAGGTTGATATACTGAATACCTCATATCARTGKTGCACGATCGAAATGCATTGTTGCTAATAGGTTTCACGCATGTCCAAGACCRTGCATATTGCATTCTATCGAAGGCACGACAGTACTGCAGTATAGTATTACACAGTGAGTCCTTTTAACGTTGATCACAGGCACTGTGTTAAAGCATTGTTTTTATAATATAGTACTTTTGGTGAGTTCGTTATATGTTCAAGCAAAAGCGGAGATTGCAAACTGTATATGATATATATTATTTCTGTTGCAGAGCGAACACGAGTTATGGATTTCGATACTGTATTCTATGCTAGAAACTGATCTAGTATGATCTGATGAGCTCTGGGCAGCCGCAGTGCTGGAAAGTGAATTCTTTCTTTGCTAACGTACGTTTTTAATGGTTTTAGTGCTTGCATTCTAATGCATGCTTGAGATTAGATCATTCGCAGTATCTTCAAATTTGATCTATTTATCTAAGGCGGAATTATGGTACATAAGTAAGTTATATCGATTAATTGGTATGAATGACGCTCATTGTTTTATCATTGCGTGAATCATCACTCTGTGGCGTTACCTTCCCAGTGTACCGACGCACGAGATATCGATATTCTCTCTTAAACAAAGAATGTCGAAAGGCGTACAAAAACGGATCGAGAAGAGCGTTGATATTAAGACACGTAACAGGAAACCACTGACCAATGATAATCTTAAACATTGTCGACTGAAAGGCATCGCCGTGAAAGTCAAAGGGATTATTGCTGTATTCAGAAAAAATCGATACAACAAGAATAAGTAGTATAGGGATGGTGAAAAAGACAAATTTTGTGAAAATCAACGAAGCGATTTTGCGCGCAAGAGAAACTTCCTTTTTGACACCTTTTGTGTTCCCRGTATTCTTTTTMACAAAGTGGAATATCTTGTAGTACATTGGRATGTTGGTGAAATACAAGAACACAATTAAAACGAGCATTGCAATGAGAACAAAAGAGGACTGGGACTGATATTCTACGTCATAACTTAGAGGTGCGCATGCGCGCTTTATGTTATACCGCAGACCGGCAACGCCAAATAATGGTAAAATGGCAAAAATACCGGCAGCGAGCCAAGCAAATGCGAGCAATATCAGCGTGGATTTCATGGTAAGYTTGATATTAGTAGTAGTACAGTATATGACGGCCATATAGCGCTCAATGGTAAGTATAGAAGTTATAAGGACTGATATTAACTGACCCGCGATRAATATCGGTCCTGTAYTAGGCCTTAGTTTTTGCCCTGTCCACATCAGCTCCTCTAAGATCTGACTGATGTGTTTGATATTTGTATCTGCAACCGATATGGAATAAATACCTACACAAATGTCAATAATTGCAATGTTTAGGATGAGACAGAATGCAGCAGTGTTTCGGAGGCTTTTCCTTGTAATGATCAGCACAAGGACAAACAAATTGGCTAAAATAGTCAAAGGGCTGATAACGTACTCTAGATAGAACAAATATTGGGGCAATGTACTTTGAGCGTTAAAGTATGGCATTACTAATTGCCTGAACTCACACTCCGTCTCCTTAACACACATGCATTCTGGCACGAAACCGTGCGATACAAATCTCTTTGGAYCTTTTTTACCAATTTTTAAGTAATTATACCCGGTGAATCTATTTAGGCACTTGTTAGCAGCTTCTTTTCGTGCGGTGCCGTTGACCAAGTTCCTCGGATTTACCAAAGWGCAATTCTTGCAGAATTTGCACCACGTGACACCGATGATTTCCTTGAGGGTGGGAACGCTCAGTAGCATTCTTGTAGGAATCCAAAAAATGGCGCCACTGATATCAACGATCTCCAATTCGGGCATGTCACGTGACAAGTTGGATTCCTTCCAAATATGGAGATTATTAATGGACAGATTCCTGCATGAAATAAAGTATTTATTAGGCTAAAAGTTACTTTTGGAGGCTAAAACATATACATTTGGAAAATAAATCTAAAGTCTTTGCGGCAAAACACGGTGCATTTTTTTTAAATGCTTTGATATATTGGTTCAATATTCACTATTCGACTTAACAATCTTTGCTGCTCTAGCTCTTCACCTTTCCAAGGCCTTCCCTCAGAAGATGGTAGTAGTCAAGGTTCATTCTCACACTATCATCCTATTTTTTCATATCCTCCCATAAAATACTAACTACTAGGCTAACTACGGCCCCTTTCTTTGTATCAGATTTCATTGCGACGGCCGGAATAAAGGCCTTGGCATGCCACGGTACAAAACACCTTTGGTATTGAATGAAGCTATATAAACCATTGAATTTCGACACGAACCAAGGTACGAGAGTGTCGTAGTCTGTGTACCCTCATCAAATATCAAATGTATACTTACAGTGATTTAAGCTTGCCTAAGCCAGAAAAAGAACCATTCCCAATTGTGTATATCCTGTTCATTCTCAAAGACCTAAAGGTAGTATCAAATAAAAATAATTGGCATCGACATGGAAGAGTTTGGTACCGTATCATGATAACTCCCTTATTCAATTAATGCAAATTTCAAAAATTATTTTTTGTGGCTGCACTTTCTGTACACATTTTGTAAAAATTTG